ATATTTACAATTTACAGTGCATATTGTAAAGTCCTATATCTAGAGAACTGTAAGTCCGATTGGGTTGAAACTTTGTATGTAGGTAGATCGGGATGTGTTACAGTTGAAAATTGAGGTGACGTCATCATGACGGTATCGTGTGATTTTAATTGAACTTAAAAAAATGGTCTTCATTTTTTATATCACGTGCAAATTACGTGACCCTTCCTTCGGAAGTACCTTGTAATAAAAAATGGGGAAAAATGTGAACTTCCTTTCAAGGATGTATGCTCTGGCTAAGTTGTTCTCTACAAAAAAAAATTAACGGTGATGTTAGATTGCCCTCTAGCTGCAGGTTGTTATAGATGATAATATAATGAAAATTTATATGACGTCATCATGATGACGTCATAATTCAAAGCCCTATGAGAATGTAATCACATATTTATATGCCACCATTTATTTTAAACAGAACTACACATCCTTCCTGGATGGATTTTATACTTGAAACTTTACATGTCACATGTTACAAAATAGTTGCCGAAACAGCCCTGTGTTTGTCCACCAACATAAGTCTACTTTTTGTTTATTTATTTATTTCTTCCTTCCATTTCTTTACCATGGGTATGTCCAAATAGTTAAAACTGCATGGTTTCCATTAGGGCCCTGCATACATAACAAATTATTAAATAATGTCAAGTAAAGTTAAACTCATATTATTCTCAGACTGATATAATATACAACACACACAAAAGTTGTGTGTAATTATGACACAGCTTTTGTTTTTTCAACACAACATTGCATTTGCCAGATACCATGGGCAAACTGGCAAATAAATACAATATAGTGGGGTACACCAGACCCCCAAGGTTGACCAGACCCAGCTATGAGTAGGGCAAACCAGACCCACTGTTTATAGGCCTAATCACACCATACCCTGATAATTAGGGCATACCAGGCCCTGGTACATGTACATAGGGCACCACACCCTGTCACAATTAGGCCACACCAGACCTTGTCACAATTCGGGCACACCTGACCCTGATACATAGGGCACACCAGACCCTGATACATTTATGTAGGGCACATAAATGTCCCTGATACATAAGGCATACACACCCTGATACATCTCTCTCTCTCTCTCTATCTCTCTCTGGCTGTCCGTCGAATCGACAATGACAAGTTACTTAGTGGGGAGTAGTAGTACGGTGCTTTTAACGGGTGTGTGACGACAGACCAAGTCTGTTGACAAAGCCCCTGTTACAGAACTGACAGAAGACAGATGGAGGATGAGGATTATGACGCCTGGCGCGTTGCTTCTCATACATGTCTGATCTTGTCAGTTCGACTGTCTGAGCTCCTCTCCTAATGGAAGCCCTTCACTCTGAACGATTTAGCGCTGTGGCTTCCCAGTCATCCAATGGTATCTGGGCTGCCTTTAGATGATGTTTAAGGACGTCCTTATACCGTAGTTTTGGGCCTCCAACTCACTGCTTGCCTTCAGAAAGTTCGCCGTAGAATACAGCCCGAGGGAGTCTGGACTCATCTATCCGTACTAGATGCCAAGCCCACCTCAACTGGGCAGTAAGAAGCATGGACTCAACACTTGGCATGCTGGTACGTTGAATGACCTCAATATTTGTCACACGGTCCTTCCAGGAAATTCCAAGGATCTGTCTCAGATGTCGTAGCTGGACGCTAGTTAGTTTCTTGATGTGCCGTCTATATAGGGTGTATGTTTCAGCTGAGTACAGTAGTGTAGTTAGGACGAGGGCACCATAGACCTTGCACTTTGTGGTGTTTAGAATGTCATGCTGGGACCAGATACAGTTTGTAAGGCCACTGAATGCCTTTGCTGCAGCTTGGATACGATTAGAAATCTCGGCATCAAGAGTGTGGTCAGATGTAACTGTACTCCCAAGATATGTGAACTTAGGGACTGACTGTAGCTCAGTAGTATCTAAATTGAGGGGTTGGTGTAGGGCTTACCAGGTGCTGGCTGGTAGAGTACTTAATAATAATAATAATCTTGTTGATGGTAATAGTGAGGCCGAACTTCCGAGAGGCTTCAGCTAAGAGGTTGGTGACTCCCTGGATGTCCACAAAGGTGTGTGCCACAAGGGCAGAGTCATCAGTAAAGAGCAACTCTCTAACACAGAACTCGTCCACTAGTGCTGCAACTGATCCTCAAAGTTCGGTTTGGTTCGGTTCGGTTCGGTTCGGTTGCGGTTCACTTTTTTCTCTCCGAACTTCGGTTCGGTTCGGTTCGGCTTCGGAAGTGCATACATAATGTACATGTCTATACAATGTATTGGGCTACAATGAAAACCATATGTACATAGGCCGTTCCCCTGTTTGAACAAACACGTGTGTACCGCAAACGTCTGACAGAAGTAGGCACCAAGTAGGCACCGCAGTTTCCACATGCTATTCAACACAAGTTGAAGGATAAATGTTTTTTGTTGTGTAAACAAAACTCCGTTATAATTTGAGTTGATGACGTTGAGAAATGAACATCGTAAATTGCTACCGTGTTATTATATGGCAGCCCTATCCAGCCCGGCAACTCTGGCCAACTATAGTTGACCAATGGTTAACTTACTTTTGCCCGAACTCTGTCTAGTCGACGGTGGTTGACTACACTAGTCGACTATTTGGAACCAGCCTACTGGGGTTGGTTGCATCGCTGGTAACCAATAGCCGTGGGCATTCATAACGCTAGCAGAGAGCCAGGATCCAGAAGTTTTGCGATGACATTTTGACCAGCGTTTGACAAGAGATGTTCGCACGTTGCTATCAGTGCGCAGGCGTAAGGTATGTCACAAATCAACCACTAGTCGAACTAATGGTCCGTGCCCGAACTTGGCCTATGTGTAGTGTAGGGCCCGGCTCTTAACTTAAGTAAGGGAACACAATCCACTTTAAAATTATTAGACAGACCAAACTAGTTGGTTCTCAATAAACAGGTATGTCATAGATAGAGGGCCGGGTTTAGATTTTTTTTTTTGAGGGAAATTTGGGGGTAAAATGACGATAACAGTGCGGCGACACAACACGCAACCCGAAAATAAACATTCAACCGCTGAATCGCAAGGTACAAACCGCGCAGGAAAATCGTGATTTCTACCTCAAGAAACTGTTAACAATTGCAAAACGGGTGTCATTAGAATTGAGAAAAGTCTGCCTTTGATTATAAAGGTGATTTTTAAGCAATAAAAAACATTTTTGACTCTAATTTGATCAAAACAAAACAGGGGCCATACGCTACACGATCACCATAACATTTTCCCACACGCGCTGACAGTTTTTCCGACGAGTTCCGTCCCGTCCGAGCATGCACTGATGAGCACTTAAAATTTGCTTTGTGGCAATAATTGCTGGTTAGTTTTGTTCTTAGAACAAACAGGTGCTTTTACTGTACTAAACTTATGAAATCATAATCATTTGTAGCAACAAGCTGACAAGTTGCTACCGTAAAATAATATAACTTTTCGATTCGCAACTGCCATGAATATTCGTTCTGTGGACGGATCCATTAATTTTGTAAAGGGGTGTTTCACCCTCTTTTGGGAGACTACATCGTTTTTAGTATACATTCTTTACGAAAAAAAATATATTGCGAAAATTACGAACTTATTCTGAATATGGGAAAGGTTTCAGACTCCATAAAAAGTATTGATTTAAACTCTGATACAGTGAAAAAACTGAAAATGCTGGTGAATTTTGCTGAGAAAAGCACACCCTTCACTGCAATTGGTTTGGTCCAACGTACTACGTCACGCTGGAACACGGCGCAGCAGGGCCAGATACTGATCACGTTGGATGAATTACATGCAAAGAGCGCGCTTTTCATTGAGAAAATCACAAGGCGCGTACAATTTTTTCAAAGCGTATCGGCCCGATATCCTATTGTTTGCCTTGCTAGAACACTACAAATAATGAAGATGAATGCGGTGACTTGTCAACCCAGTAAATTCAATCATCCGTGCGTTTTATTTTTGCCCTTTCATTGCAAGCTTAAGCATTCCTAGCACTATCAACAAATACTTGTCAAACTCTTCTGAATTGACTTTTGGGTTCGGTTCGGGAGGCCAAATTCGGCTATTTTTAGTTCGATTCGGCGGTTCGGCTGCAGCACTATCTCCCACCTTTGTTTTTGCTCTGAGTTTTGCCAGATTGAATAACTTCCCATCATGTCGGGACTGAATGAAGACCCCAGAACTTTGTTGGTCAGTCACAGTCCTCAGAACTGCTGCTAGGAACAGAGAAAACAGGGTTGGTGCCAAGACACACCCCTGTTTTATTCCATGGGAGATCTCAAAAGGGTCAGACAGTGATCCACCACATGAGACTCTACCGACCTTGCCTTCGTGAAATCCCTGAATGATGTCAACAAAGCTCTTTGCACAGCCAAAGCACTCTAATAGGTGCCACGGTGTTACCCTGTCTATGGAGTCGAAAGCCTAAGAGAAGTCAACATGATACATAGGGCATACCAGACCCTGATACATAGGGCATACCAGACCCACTTACATAATGACTAGCCATAACATGTACAGAAATGGCGAAAAGGCATTTAAGCACCGATTTAAAATCCTGAATGAATGTAAAATGAAGTTTCAAACAATCCAGGCACAGGATGTTCCCCCGCTTAACGTTGGGAGCTACGGGAGGAATGGCCCCTAGTGAACCTCCAGGGAGCCATTACAGTGCCCGTCACAACAAATAGAAACTACTGTTGTGGTATTTACTTTGTATGATAGGGCAGTTAATACCAAATGTAATAAAGTTATTGGCCGTTATGATAGGGCAATGAACAATTTAACCTGTGTCTGTCGAATTCCCACCAGAAAATGCCCCATTACATGTATATTGCAAGAAAATGCCCCATTATATTGCAAGAGAACACACATGTCAACTTTGGTTAATAATTGACATTGAAAGAATTAATGGATTGAACAAATGCAGGTAGGATCTTCCCCTAAACCAACAGGAGGAATAATGGCACATGATAGACATCCAGGAAACCAATGCAATTAGGTAAGGCACTAGACTTTAATTCCTATTGCAAAAAGCAATGCTGCTTGCATTTTTTTTTGTCCCACAAAAGTGTCCTTTAATTGGAGGTGATGGAAGGGGGGTGGGCAAGTTAAAAGTTAATTTCTCCCATTGTGCTTTACACAAAGGGCTAGCATTAACCTGAACAAGACCCTCAAGGGCAATGTCAAATTTGTCATACAGGCATTTAACTGCAAAAACAACAGACAGAAATTTAATCCTATTGATTAAGTAGGACAGACCCAGCTGGGTGCTGCGGAGAGAATACTCAATATTGTCAACGCTTTGATTTGGAATACATGTATGTCTCCTTGGAAGGCCTAAACAAGATCGAGTAAATCTCCTCTGTACTCCTTCAAGAATTGATTGCTGAGAGACAGTACTTGGGCACCAGACTGGCACAGCGTACTCAAGGATGGGTCTAACAATAGTACAATACAGCGTGACAAGGGTATGGTTGTCTTTGCAGTTAACAAGTCTTCTAATAAACTCAGACATTCTTGTTGCTTTTGAAACGACAGTGTTAACATGTTGCTGTCAAGTAAGATTTCTAGAGAAATGCATGCCCAGGTATTTATGATGATAGCTGATTTCAAGGATTTGTGAACCAATCATATAAGACGGCTTCGGTGGCTTCCTGGAACGAGTAAGGGTCATTAATTTACATTGATCAACATTAAGTTTCATCTTGTTTAGAGTGAACCAGATGTCAATCTGATGCAAATCACACTGTAAGACATGCTCGTCGTCTTCACTGGCGATAACTCTGTACATAACAGTATCATCTGCATATTGTCTTAAATTAGACTGGATGCAGAATGGTAAATCAAATGTAAAAAACTATTAAATAATAACGGCCCGAGTACAGATCCCTGGGGGACACCTGAAGGAACAGGGGCCCAGTTAGAATGTGCCCCATGAAACTGCACCCGTTGTTGGCAGCCTTTAAGGTAGTATTGAAACCATTGTAAAACTGAACCACAAACACCGTATTTATGCAGCTTTTCTAGGAAAATATTGTGGCTCACACAATCAAAGGCTTTCAACCAATCCAAAAATAGCATCAATGCGTGGGGGTTCAAGAAATCCAAGGTTTTGGCCCAGTAGTGATGATATATTGTGGCGAGTTTAGTACCACATGACCGTTTTTGGAGGAAACCATGTTGGCAATCAGAGACAGTACCGCCTCTGTACATACATGTAAGTACTGTACAGACATGAACAAGTTTCCCACATGAAAAGTTGAAACTGTGCATAATCTTCTATCCGGTTCGTAAGTGACTTCATCAAACACGCGCACGCACCACTGATTACGAGCGCCCATTGGATAAACACTAAAGTTGAATTAACTTCCGGTTCCATTGGTGCCATGCTACACCATGTACAGTAAGTTGAGATGACGTCACACTTACGAACCGGATTTCCACCCAATTGTGTGATGCCATTTGTGCAAGAAAACCTTTACCCATCCACACACTCAGGCCTACACAGTGTACTGCTAACAGATTATTGATTTTCATTGATGCAAAATACACAGTAAAGATACAACAATTTTCTAGATCACTAAGTGCATTGTCCATTTGTGAATTGGAAGTTCACTCTCAGCTTTACACACACACATAGCCTACATAGTACTTAATCTGGTTCACAGACTAAAAGACTCTGACTATTCCTGACAAATCTTAGGTCAGGTAGCCGTCAGTAATACATTGTATTACAAATATATGGCACGTGACTAAAACGGGAGGAATTCCTCCTTTTTCCGAAAATGTCCGAATTTTGCCAAATTCATTTCGTCGACAATCGGATAGCGCCCGAGTATTTCCGAGTATAATATATGTTTTATTAAGGGAATAAATGTGTGTTTGGGAGGTATTATAACACTCAGTTTAAGACCGGTGGGAGTCTGGATGGGTGATATTCGCCTCGCATAATTATCACCCATCCAGACTCCCACCGGTCTTAAAGTGTTTAATACCGACCGAACACATATTTATTCCCATTCATAAATACCTTTTTGTTAAAAAAAAAAAATTTTCGATCCAAAAATCAAAACAAGTCAAAAACTAGATGTTGCCAACCATTTTGTTCAACAATTTTACTTCATGTTTTATGAAACACCCCTCTGACTATAATATGGAATGCCCCGCCACAACTCGTTACCTTATAAGGACATTGGCTGGGCTGGTGTAGTGTGAATTTCGGACCATGAAATACTGATTCACTGGTAGTATTGCGCATGCATACGTGAGGAATGTGAACGTTCAACCAATGAAACATTAAACGGCACCGGATTTCATGGGAGTCCAAATTTCATGTGACACTGGAAAAGTGTTTAAGACCAGCTAGTCATGTCTTTATCATCAGTTTAAGACCGGCCACATGACGGGCTCTCGACCAATAGGAATGTGTAAACTGTCTTAGGTATTTATGAATAATTGCTAATTGCTTGTTAATAACTTTTTAAAACGAGTTGATAATTAATATTCATTGCTCTTAGTTGCAAAATTTGAATTTCAACAACGGTTTTTGTACTCGGATCGTATACATACGAGGGGCGAACTTTTGAATTTGACAACTGTTACCGGGATTTTCCAAAACTCGGCATGGTCTCCATTCGGCTCCGCCTGCTAACAGTGCTATTTGGGTGCCTACCATACCTTTAAAGATTCCTGGTCAACATTAGTCAATGTTTTCTTACAGAAATATCAAACTGTATTATAACTGTATGATATCATGAAGTGATTTATTTTAAAATTTGATCAGAACATTAGAAGCTATAAGTGAAAAAGCGTGAGAGACTGTTCCTGTTAATTACATTATCAAGACTGATCAATAATTCAAATTCTGTAATTACACGTAGGCTCGATTTTCCCTGTTCAGTGTTTAATTCAAAAGTAAAGAAATAGTGCTAAGAAAAGTTAATCAAAAAAGCATTCTACTGCGCTCTACTTACCCGTACAGTATTACTACATATGCATTATTCCTTAGAGGGCACCAGCCATACGTTAAGATTGATTACCCACAGTACCTTGCGGCCCGCCCGCCATATTTTTTTTCTCTTAGCGACGTCTCGAGAAAGATGCATTTTACAGAGCTCTCGCTTTGTCAAAAATGTTCGCGTCTTTCCTCAGCCATTTTTATCGCTAAGTTCTTAGTTTATTCTACTATTTATCTACTATTGTTGTTTCTATGAGTTGAGTAAGTTTTGGAATATTTTGGGTCAGTTTTCTTTGGTCGTTACGGGTACATTTTGGGAGTGAGACCTCGCACAGCACAAGTTGCCGGTCACTCACTCCCGTTACACGGTTCTTACGGTACGAGACCGTGTGCCTGAGGCTTTGCACAGGTTGCAAGTAGCTCACGCCGTACCCATCTTGCGAGGCTTCACACAGGTTGCAGGCTGCTCGCTTCCACATTTACACGACCACATTTTTACCATGACACAGGCTGCTGGTAGCTCACGTCGTATGGAGGAATTTGGGCTTTGCACAGGTTGCTGGCTACTCACTTTATGCTCGTACGTCATGGCCATTCGCGTGAGCCTTTACACGGGATGAAAGTCACTCATGCTGTTTCGAACGGACAAGGCTTTGCAGGGGGAGCGTCGCACGAGTTGCAAGCCCCTCATCCACTGCTAACCGACCCATCAGCGTGATATTCGCTACTTACTAACCAATCCCTCACGCTGCACCGACTATTTGGAGTCTGCGTCTTTAACCGGCAGTTTTGTTGCCTCACGGCTGTATTTGCCATACCGAATAAGTGAGACTTTATACGGGGCGAGTGTCGCATGAATTGCAAGCCACTTTCCCCTTATACCTAGGTTACAAGTTGCCGTCCACTCAGTGTGATATTTTCGCTAATTAGCAAATCCCTCACGCCATCACGAACGCCGCTATTTAACCGGCGTTTCGCTGTTATTTTCACAGCAACTTTCGTTGTTTCACAACAGTGTTACTGTACAGGGCGACTGAGACATGCCACGGGGCGATTGAAGCACGAGTTGCAAGCCACTCCCCCCTTACCTACGATACTAGTTTCCTTCCAATCATCGTGATATTTTGCTATTAACAAATCCCTCACGCTGCACCAAATAATGGGTGTTTTTGTCCTCAAAACGAACGCTGCTATTTAACGGGCGATTCGCTGTTGTTTATCCGACAGTTTCGTTATCTTTACAATTTCGACAGTGTTCCGCTTCGACGTGCTATTTATTTATACAAAAGTAAATAAATCCTTGTATAAATAAATAAAAAACAACCACAGCGATACCTACTTTGTCAGATAGGCCTATCACTCGTTTTTGGAATAAAGTTTACTGGCCGGCCTCCACACTTTTGTTCCGGCTGTTCCGATAATTTCGGTTTCCATCCGTTTTTGCGGACCTTTTATACGGACCTTTTAAACAGGCGTTTTTTCCTCGTTCTGAAGTCATGTCATCCACGGGGCCGCCAAAGAAAAAATCTTCAGTGATTTCCAAACCCAGGAACACTTCGAAGATTCAGCCCATGGCCGCCCTTGATGAGACTCCCCAATATCCTGCGATACCGGTGACGGGGCCCCGCCTGCTCGGATGGTGATACAACTTTGTTCACCCCAGCCTTTGTTTTCTCTGAGTGGTTTAGTCACATCAGACTTCCCGGATGCTTCTGGAGTCCCTCTACAATCTGAGGCTGATTCTCCTCCTAAGAAGAAGAAGCAGAAGAAACGCAAGCCGACAGATATGTCCACTGATAGTTCTGTCGGCCACAATTGACATATGTCCTCTCAAGGACATGGTTTTGCTTCAAGCGATTCAGAACTTGTCTGAAACTTGTTAGCCTTTTCAAAACAGACTACTGCGGCTGATCCGGGCTCATCGCCCCCTTCCCAGCCTGGGCCACCTTCAAACCTTAACATACATGAAAAAGACTGGAGTATGGGTGGCATGGGTGGCTTGTGCGTAAAGCGCTCACCTCTCACCAAGGTGACCACGGTTA